ATATATTAAAATTTGTGAAAAAGGGCAAAGGCTCTTACCTTAGTACAATGTCTGTACGGCGTCCTGGGCAGGCTGGCAAAATAATCACGTCATCGAAAGATGCGTGTACGTGTACTGTAGACAATTTCCATGACGCTGCATTGCATGCGTAGAGTCAACGTCACGATTTTTGCGTATCAATTTTTCTCCGCCTTTTTCAACAAATAATTCACTTTTTTCTCATGGGAAAACGTCGTCAATCATATTTTATTAGTCTGAACTTTGTCTTGACAGTGCAAATTATACCCAAATAAACGTCTTTGGATGATTTCTGGCACCCAAAATTGATTCTCGACTCAGTCCTAATTACGCGTTTAGGAATGACCAGGTGATCCAAAATTGACCTCCGATGAAAATACTGCCGCCTACGGCGGGTCCCGGGATCATTGCGTCCAGGGTTCTAAAATATACCAGACGCTGTCTTTTGAGTCACGTTTAATTACCATATTGCCAGTTCCATTCTTCTTTGAAATAGCATAGCGATCATCGTAATTATTATACTAAGTATGTTTATTAATTAAATAAACAGACACGTTTCTAGTTTTTTGCGAGGGCTGACGTGCGAGTAACTAGCTGTCGTCCTGTGAAAGACCTGCAACTCTTTGCGATTGGGATTTGCATACGTAGCCGACATTTTGTATTCTTCCCTGTTCGATATAACGTCGTTCTAAACCTAATAAAGTGTATTTTAACCGATGTACCTATTCCTACGTATAGCGCTGTGTTGATCGGGCGAACTATGTACAATGCACCTATCGTCTGTCCGTATTGTGATATTAAGCCCCGACACAGTCCTTGTACGCAGGGCTACCGATATGGTATGCCCAGTCATAAATAGTGTAATATTGCATATTCTCCTTCTCAATTGTATTTTTCATGTCGTATTTAAGTCACGACACATATTGGGTCAAGCCTCTTTGAAATGCAGTGGAGATTTCGAGTCACGTCTACAGTCCTTCCGCTTTTATTGCGTTATAAAAAACTATAGGTTACGAGGGAAAGTGTAAAATGTTCATTAATGTCCGTATTCACTCGTACGTTACCGCTAGATGCAATCAGACAGATTAAAAAAACTCACCACTTATCCCTGCTCCAATTATTATTACGTCATGAATGTTATCTGACATTTTGACAAGATCAGAAATTAATCCGAACAATAAGTCAAGTCTTAGAAGACTTGGAACTCTTACACGAATCAACAATGTCGCCGCCAACTAGTGACCTTTTCAATTTATGTGTGCAGCCTAACTAACAATAAGATGACCTACAGAATGTGTGTCACACAATACTTAGGGATGGACCATTTATAATACAGGGGGAACGACCGGTGGGTTTGTTTCAATAAGATATTACAGGGAAGTGTCTTGTTATTATGTACCATAATAGTTATTTTGCAATCGATCGACGTAGCTTTACATTCTGCTGCGTACAAACCGGCATAGATTATATATCGATCATAGATCGGCATATATATATATATATATATATATATATATATATATATATATATATATATATATATATATATATATATATATATATATATATATATATATTCAAAGTATCAAATATTATGCATGACTGTCTGCCTGCAAACCCATGACAACGTGCAAATGATCGCGGTTTTGCGTTGACAAATTGGATATACTAATTACAGTGGAAGCAAATAGATTTGTGCAATTAGTGTAACCATAGAATCGGCACGTATATCCTTTCAAATTATTAACGTACAGTACAAATATATATTTGTATTTCAGACCTGGTTATCACGTGATTGTGTCAGTGGCTTGCATCCATTGGCTTGATTGACATTGCCTCGCCGCTGATATATATATATATATACGGTGGCCCTCGCTAAGTCGCGGGTGTCGGGATCCAAGCAAAAACCGCGATTTATCGAGTACCGCGACTTACCGGGGAACCTCATGAAAGAGGGGGGGGGGTCGTGCATTGAAAACATATAAACCTATGGTTAGAAACATATTTACAAATTGTATGATTTATCATCATATCTGTCAGGTACTAATATGAAGGATTGCAACCCGCCTGGAAACAGAGGATTGGAGATAGATTTTTTCAATCTGACAGGAGTCTGGGTTGATGACGAGGTTAGTAAATAAACGGTAGAGACGGGGAGTCGGTTGGTAATAAATCTGAACTTTCTGTGATTCGTCTAATACCTCTACAGCGTGAGGGCACCATGAAACACGCCCGCGACGTCCTTTTGTAAAAACAGTCTGTAAATTGTTTATTAAAGAAAGAGTATTTTCAGTAAAATTTCCAGATTTATTTATTCCCCCTCAAATGACATAGTAATGTGTGGTTAGCTACGCCCCACCTACGACAGCCCCCAACGTACTGTGCTTGTTAAAATAGAATATCATACGACGGACAGCGGGTCATAGTCTGTCTTATGTTCGAAATTTGACATTTTGTAGTCGGGGAATTGTGAGCAGCGACACCATGGCATTTATATCCTCACTGCAAGAATTTCAAATCACCAGGTGTAACGCTGTCGCTATATGGCTACTCGCACTGTCCATTACTTTGCTGAGTGTACAAACATAATGAGACTATTTATAACACCTTGTTTATAATTTGTGAAATCTAAGTGATAATTTTCACAAATAAAATAAATGTTGATTTATCAAAAACATTGGGTATAATTCTCGAGGATGCATGGGAGTTGAGTGTTTGTTGGGCATTCTCTGGATTTTCAGCTTAGAGATATATGGTCTGAAGCTCCAACACCATACTACATTGTGAAGCATCCATGATTTAGTATGTAAGCTTTAAACCTTGAAACGCAGTGCATTACGGGGCTCAAATTTACGGGTAAAGGATACTTAAAATCCCGTAGAAGCAACAAAACTCTCAAAACTAAGGCTATTTTTTTAATAAAATTACCACCAATCGCCCATCTTGAATTGAATCATCAAATGCTGACGGTGTGTGTTTGAAATTGAACCAGGTATTATTTACTAAAACTTCCCTTAATTTCTGATAGTTCTTATCATATTCAAGTTGGTTTTCATAACAAATTACAACCGAGAATTTGTATCACAATGCACTGAATGTAAGTGTCAGTGTTTTCAGAATTTTTTGTATTTTTTTAGTGTTCTTTCTATAGCAACAAATCTTGTCGTTATGTTACGATATTCTATTTTTGCTGTAAAATAAATGTATTTTGATAATGCCCAGTTAGCTAGCGAGGCTTGCCCAGCTGCGGAATTAGAATAGTATTGTCATTGCTAATTAATAATATTTTGTTCGTGCTTGTGCAAGACGAACGTGAACACGAGTTAGTCAGTTGTCACCCAGCTTCCGACCAGTGCAGTGCAGTGCAGTTCAGTTCAGTTCAGATGCAGCCAGCGTATGTCTCACGATAATGCCTGTCCAATTCGGCATATAGGCCTAATAGATGCAAGACAGCCTGCTGTGGTTCTGCGCTGTAAAACCAACTTTATTTAAAGACCTGTACATGTGTTTCGCCAGAAAGCATGGTTTGCTGATCTTGGTCCTTTCTCTGCACGGACGGTATGGAAGTCGCGTAACATTACGGTCAGAGTCGTGTAGTTTTGCAATTCTTGAGACCTCGTAGTTTGGAGCTGTAGAACTGATATCGTCGTCGACGTTGCTGTGAATAACTGTACTATCGCTGAAACTACGCAGTACGAGTTCTGCACCTAGGTAGGATAGGCAATTCCGAACTGGGCTATTATCATTGTTATTATTGTGAGCTATATTGCTGACCGGTTTGTGATTTATATTATCCCTGTTAATGATTTACGCTTATTGTATTAAGTTAGTATTATTTGACATGTTCTGGCTGTGTGGTTTGTTTGACCTTTAGTGCTGCGTCCTGGAGTGCGGGATATTGGCGTCTCGTATTCCCGTTCGTAACAGTTGTGAAAAATGTGTTGACGTGTGTGTTGTATTTAGTGGCATACCAACAAAATAAAAGTGAACATCACGAAAAAGATCAGTTTAATTCATTCAATATAATAATTTTGTTTAGACAGGCGTCCCAATTTATCACCGCTGTTTTATGGGGAGAGCCGTTATTTTGAAATATGGGCGTGCTTTAAAAAATATTTCTAGTAACTATTAATTTTACATGGTCAGTTTATACGGTACAGACGTCGTGAATCAGTGATACGTGTAGGGAACATCAATTTCGCCTTTGTATTGTGTGGCTCGCTTATCCTTCTGTAATGAATGTTGTTATGGGGCCATCAGTAACAAAACAACATACTGTCAACTAAACTCAAAGTAAACAATTATCACGAACCTCAGATTGAGTTCAATCGTAAAAAATTCCAAGCAAACAGATCATGGAGATGGGTACATCAATAAACATACTGCAAAGTAGTGATAAATTTGGTATTTTTTTTGAAATAAGTGATGTTAGAGGAATGAGTGTTGCATGTATAGCGCCATCAGTGGTGAGGTAATTGGTTCGCAGAATTTTAAATCTGGATCGAGACTAGATGAACCAACTTGATACAACCCGACCCCCTATATTGATGTCACGCCTGTGATTTGCAACATAAAAGGGAAAAAATAAATTCAATGAATAAATTTATTGGTTTGTTGGTCGCCACTCTATTTAGGGATTTTGCGTGGTAAAGATAGAGAAATCCACGTGTGTAAACTAATAGCAGAAAACAATAACTCTCCCTCCGGCAGCAACTCTCATACAGGAGCTCTTAATCCCAGGGTTCCACAGGGCGGGGTGGAGTAATGCAGCTTGTCAGGGCGAAAGCTCTGAAATACAAGACTACATGCAATGCTACCAGTCAAAAAAACAAAAAAAACAAGGCTGGTTCCCTACAAGTGGAGTAAACACATAACATCAAATATTGCAGACTCTTCACACATCCAACGCAGTGAATAGGATACTTGCCAGAATATTCAAATGCGATAGAAAAATTTACTAAAACATCCGCCCTGCTAAAATCAACAGAAATGCCAGTTGGATCCAACAACAACAAATTCATAATGGGAAACTAAAGTCATGAACAAGCAGTACTGGCTAAATAGAGTCTTTAGTACAGCTAACAATCGTTCAGTAATAACCGTGTTGACACAATAAATAAAAGATATAACTGTACACTCGTCGATAACTCGTCACTGCGTGAAACTGTAAATATGCCTTTTATGGGTCAAAGGTCATCTATATAATCGTTGAAACCACGTGTGTGGACAGAAAGTCAACACGTAAAATAAAATACCTAGAATCTCAACATCAAAGAAGAATAAATGCATATGAAACTCATGATTGCTGTCATTGCCTAATATTACAATCGAAAATACAGCTTCTGTTCACAAAACCTAAATCAAACGATGACGCAATGTCACTCAAAACTCCCCGTAAACAGCAACGACTATAAAATAAAATCTATACGTAACAGCGTTTCCATCCACAATTTAGCTATGAAAAAACTCGCTAAAATAGCTAATTATGTGGGCTAATCCCTGATCGATTGCTTCGAGAAAGGGCTCTCTTACATCAAGTCAAAACGTGTTCGCAGGGAACGACTGAGAAAAACAATGACGCGGCAATTTAGTCACTTCATTCGAAACAACAAAAACACAGCCAAGCTCACTTCAAACAATTTTAACTCACTCCTATCTCTCTCATACGGGTCAGGGGTCTCACCAAAATAAGTACTACCCTGTCAAGCAAATACATAATTATTAGTAAAAGACACACATGACATTGATAAAAGACTCACAACAGATATGTTCATTGACCACAAAGGAATAGCAACACATCTATATTTCTCCCTCTAGAAAACGAGTTGTCACCATTCTGACCTCCACCAGTGCACGCGTTCTGGCGATCTGAACGAAAAAACCTTATAACCCGTCTTCCGAATCCATAAAACTGCGTAGGACGACAATTACATTGTGGGTAAGCTTTACGTGTCTTTTCACCATTCTGCCTCTCCTCATTGGCGGATACACTTGTGTCGTCCTTTAGTGACACTCTGGGCTCAGACAATGCTGCGGTCGCTGTTTCTTTTCACTTGGATCTATTCCCAGAAAGAGGTCTAAGGGTAATCGGGGGTGCTGCCCACGCATTAAATAGAATGGAGAATATCCAGTGACATCGTGTCGGGTACTATTATATGTG